ACAAAAAAACCCCCCCCCAGGGGGTGGGGGGTCTTCAAAAAAAAAAAAAAAAAAAAAAAAAAAAGCTTTAAAAAAAAAGCCAAAGCCTCACAAATCAACACGGTTCCCCCTCCTCTTTCTCTCTCATTTTTCCTTAAATGAAAATGTCTTACCGTATTCCACCTCACAGGGCCCGCTGAAGTGACATCAAAGTGTCATTCTGGAATCGGGCGTTTCATTTCTCTCGGGGTTCTGCTCTAGAAATTACACGCATCTATCTGAACTATTCTTGGATCCCCTTCAACTTCCGCAACGAGAACAAGTCAGAGATTCAAAACACAGATTGACTCAAGGCGGGCAGAGGCAGAGGGCAGGGGACGGAGGAGCCGGCGCCCGCCCTGCCCAGCCGGCTCCGCGCAGCATCCCGGCCCCCGGCGCCGGGAACGGGGGGACGCGCCTCCCGCCGCCATCCAGCCGTGCGTGGGGTTGTAATCGGGGCTAAGGCAGGGCCCTGGGCGACGGAGACCTCCCCTAGACTAGAAATAACTTGTTGTGGAAAACTCTTTTGGGATAAATACGCCCAACGGCGCTGAAAATACCTAAAGACCCAAGCCTAGAGGTTTGCTCATTTCCCTTCGGATTTAGGTAATGGTTAAATATGGAAGGGGTAGGCGAGATCCCCCACCACCCCCCCTCCCCGGCGCACGGTGGCTACCGTAGCTTGAGAGCGATTCAAACACGAAGGCGAAAGAGGAGCGGAGCCAGGCGAGAGGGAAGCGGTTGCCTTCCCCGCCTGCGTGCCGGTGCTCAGGCTGCCAGCTCGGGGAGGATCCGGGCGGCGGGCACCGGCGGCGAGCACGGCAGCGGGCATCCCGCTACCGCCCGCACCTGCGGGGACCCCCAAACACAGTTTCCCAAGTCTGGCCTGGGATTCCTGATGCAGCCAGGAAATCCGGCTGGGGTCTTCGGTGTCTCTCTGAGGTGGGTCTGGGCTTCGCTCTCGGACACCTCAGGCCACCGGCTACTTCGTTTCGATGACTGTAGGGCCGCCCGACGTACGGCTCTGCAGTGAGCGAATCGAGGTTTAGCACCATTTCCCGTTCAGAAACGACCGAGGCTGAGGGAGACCGAAGTCGGACGAGGCAGGAGCAAAACTTCAGCCTCCCTCACGCCCGGCAGCACGCTGGCTTTGCGGAACAGGTGCTTTTCTTCACCACCACCACCACCACCCCACCACCCCCGAAGTATTCACAGAAAAATTAGTCACTCTGCGCCTGTGAGCACGTATGGAACACAGGATTAACCTGACTTCCCAAAACCTAAGTAAGCAGGCGAACACCACGACGAGAAAAACTGTCCAACCTTTTGCATGATGCTTTAGTAGTGACACAAAAGGAAGTTGAAGAACACGACTGACACGTCGCCCTTAACACCTTCATTATTGCCGGAAAGTTCTTGGTGCTGGGCACAGCAGTTTTACTTACGGCATGTGTGCACCGCGGTCTCCTTGCTGCGCCTTTGGTTGATGACTCTGAAAATCATTCGCGCCGTCAGCTTTAAAAATAATTGCTGGAATCGGTAGAAATAACCAGATCAGAACAACTCGGTGTAATTTCACGTGTGCGTCTTTGTTGACTCACTGTTTGTGACTTTTTGCGAAAGAATCTTTCTCGTTTGCCTCTGAAATGGGGTGATAAACTAAGAGCCTTTCGATTACCTCGCCAAACGGCGCTTTGACTGCGTGTAACGAAAGCAACAGAAGACGTTACCGTGAATTACTATTAGCGCTCATCAACAGTTCTGACCTGGTTGCAATAAAGTACCTATCCGTCTTTATACATCTAAGATGAAAACGTAGACGGGCGCTTTTGCGCGGTTGTAAAGCGCGGCGATTTCCCTGCGGGAGATGCTCGCCCTCCGCCGAGGAGCGGGGTGCGCTGCCGGGCGCCGAGCGGCTCCGCTGGGGGCTCTGCCGCGGGGGGCCCGGCGCCCAGCCCCGTCGTGCTCAGCCCACCTGCAGACGGCACCCTCTC